TTGGCCACACCTACCTCACCCATAGCTACCTGCTTACTAGTGAAGAACCCCCAGCCTGTGAGCGCTGCGGTGAACCTCTGACTGTTCTTCATATTTTATTTCTTTGTCCTGGTCTTCGGCAGCAGCATAAATTCTTTTTTCCTGATCTTTTCAAGTATCACATTCCATTCCACCCTGCCTTGCTGCTTGGTGAGCGGCCACTAATCTCATTCAAACGTCTTTTCGATTTCCTTGAAAATACCGGATTTTTAAACAAACTTTAGAACTATTCTGCGCCCCATAGTTTATTTCTACTCACCCTTTTTTACTGACTCACCTTGTTTGGTGCAGTATGGCCATTGATGCTCTTGCGCCATTAAAACCGCAAACAACAACAACAACCACATTACTCAACGCCATTCGTTGTTCGCCAACATTTGGGCGGGTTCGGTGGCGCCATCTGTACATCTGAGATTTGCTCTCTTTATCACATTTTTGATAGTGGAATAAGCCGCTCATGATTGTAACTTGAAATTTTTGGGATGCTTAGAGCACATAGAATGTGTTACGGCCATAAATAGGCCATCGAAATCTCCTTGGCGCCCGTTTAAGAGTAGGATTTTAGGCTTTGGAAAATGCATTAAGAAAGGAGGTCCATTATTGCTGTATACACCGAATACTATTGATGAGATAAAAAAAATTGCTCCATATGCTTTTAAAATAGTATATTGTATGTACCCTTTAAAGAACCATCTGACAATTTTATATTCAGATTCGCAAAGTGTGGAGGAAGTATACTGCTGTGCATTGCCATGCTTTGCATCAATACGCGCAGTCTCGGGCAGCCGAGTAATGTAAAAGAAAACACCTTTGGCTCCACTCCATGACAAGACGGGAAAAAGCAAATACGAATGAGTGTGCCATCACCATAGCTCACTACCTTCCCATAGCAAACACGGCATCATCTGCTATGGGAACGGTGTCTTACGGTTCGCTGACGAGCAGTGTTGTCACCCGACCGTCTGCTCGGCTGGATTATGCCCCACCCTTCTTGAGCAGAAAGTGCAGCTCAGGAAGGGCAGGAAAACACATCAGAATCAGAATCAAAGGCTAGCGGTTTCAGTAAGGCGCCTGCGCGATTTTTCTGTCTCTTATCTAGCCCCAGCCTTGTACCTGCTCCACGAGTGGTAACTTCGGCGCACTACTGCGCTTCTCGCGTGCTCAGTCTTTCTAAAAATTACTGATTTTGAGGTTTTGGACGACGCTCAGCAAGTTTCTAATTGGAAGCACATATGTCTATTTTCAGTTATTAAAAAGTTAATGAGTGATTTTTAATTAATTAGCCAACTTATTGCAAGATTAGCCACCCACATAATGTCCCCCTGGGCGTAAACTCACTCGCGCAAACCGCTTAAGCGTAGCTTTCATGGCTTTTTTTAAAACAAATCAGTAAGAATAAAAAAAACAAAAAACACCCGGTATATAATTGAGGCAAATAAAAATACCCACCCTTCTGGCTTTAGCTACAAATTTAAATGTCTATGTAGTGTGCTCCGGTAACGAGGTGCAAATTCGTTGGACCGTCGTTTGACGTTCGAGTGGCGAGCAAAGAACAGGCAGATAATAATTCATGCCGCGCACCAGTGTCGGCTGGCACTCATCGAGATTGTGGTGAAGTCCAAGTTGCATTTAGTCATATGTTTGGTAGACTTACCTCTAGTCTTAGACGCTTTTCTTGCTGTGATGTGACCTGCTGTGGGAAGTTCGTCGGTACAACACTACACCTCAACCGAGGTACCCTTTTAACCCCCAATGCTCTAGATACAGTTGGACTGACCTCGTAATCCTTATCAACAAAGTGTCGGGAACAAATAAAAGATTTAGATCCAAAACCTTCGAGTAGTCGTCCAGGAATCGCAGGTAGCCAGGCCGCTTTCTCTGCCGCACACTTTGGGAACCTGTGCAGCGTGCTTTCGGTTGTGATTCCACCTGGGCATCCTTTCGTGCAGCAACGGCGCGACATGGTTCCTCACGTCGCCCATACAAGCATGCGTCCTCTCCAACCTCACGAAGTTTCAAACAATTTGAGATCTCAAAGAATTTGAGATCGCTGATACTTCGAGCTCGAAAGTACAGCGTCATCTGCTTGCAGTGAAAGACGACACGCTCAAAGAAGGGAGAAGGGGAAATGCGCAGATCCCCGGGGAAACGACACTTCCCGTTGGGGCGGTTTCGGAGGAGGAGAAAAACTCGTGACGCAAGTCGCCTTGATTTTTGACGTCAATCCTTTTGCCCGTATAGCGCGGGAACTTCAAATTCGGCTTTTAGATTTTGTTTTTTTACTTCACAAATACTAAATCCTCAGGCTTCAAATTTTGAGGATAGTGTCCAAACACAGTTTTTAATTGTTTCAGATAATAAAAAAAAATGTTTTTGATCTGTCAGTGCCCCTTTAAGTCTTCTGTGCTAAGGGCTTTAATGACTGCCAACAACAAATATATGATAAGTGTTTAGAAGTCTTTTATTCACAAGGTGGAAGTGCACTGAGAAGAAATATTAGCAGGGCTTGGCAAACATTCAGACACAGAGGACTCAATTCATTAAGTATGACAATCGCCGACATTTCTGTCTACTCAATCTTTATTTAGCACTCTTACTGGAACTGTACACAAATCTGTAGTAAGGCAGACACGAATCCTTTCAGTGCAAATTCAATTCAGTTGAACAATAAATTACCTTTGTACAATCGAAGCTATCTGTAAAGCTTTGCAATAAGCATTACAAGTCACCTTGCAGTTTACTCACTTTCCCTAATGAGTGGGGACTGCATGTTAGCGAGGACAGTGCATACAATCCATATTTGGTTGGCAAGGGGTGCCAAAGAGATGGGAATAGGGCGGTTGAAAATGTGAAAGGACTTGATTCTCTGGATTCAGCGTTCAACGTGAATTTGGAGGGCAGCAATGTAATGTGTTTCTGCGACTTCCTCGGGTGGAGAACTTGGCTCGATTCAAAAATGGAGGAATGTTCACTGCTACGCCAAGTTTTTGGAGGAGGTCGGCAATCTTGAAGCTCTTGTCGGCCATGACAGAATTGCCCTTATCAAAAGGCATCTTAAGAAAACCACTCTGGATGACACTCTCTTTGTCAGAAACCGAACCCATAAAAAGCTCGGGCACAAATCTGACCAGGTCATTGGGCGAAATGCCCACCAGGCCGATAAACGTGTTCTTAGATTTGTAGTATGAGTATGTCCCCGACTGAGTCACAAACAAGCTTGGCACCTCACACTTAATCTCGGTGGCATCTAAGATGACTCGAGTTGTGGGAAACTTCTCCCTGAAAGCTGGTGGCATGGTGCTGTCAATGGTCTCTCGCAGGGATCCCATCGCTAAAATGCAATTTGGAGCAATTTTTGGAGGACCAAACTATGCATTCTGGAGCAGTTTGGAGCACTAAATGTTAATTTTTTTTGCACTTTGTAGCGTGTAAATACACATTTTTAGTGCTTTACAGCAACCAAGTTGGCACGTATTTCACCAGGCATCTTTCACTATAACGCAAATGTGCTTCATGCCATATTCCAGTTGAAAACCATTAGAGGAAACTTTTTAGAGGAATGAATTATGTATAATGAGTAATAATACTAAAAAAAGACAAGCTGGTTTATGCGCAATTTTTGGACCAGATTTATTTTGAAAAAAGAGATCTAAAAAGAAGTCCAGGATTTAAAGAAAGATATAAAAAAAGGGGAGAGGATTCAGCGACTAAGTGCACAATTTATTTTTTTCTGATTTTAGGCGTCTCTCCTCAGTTTCTGAAATTTTGAATAGATATGGGCTAGAATCTCTTGAAGCCCGGCGGAAATTTGCAAGATTAAGCTTTTTTTATGGACTTCATAATAACGAAACTAGCTTCAGTAAAGGCTTGTATAGGCAAGGCTAAACCACTCAAAAAATGTTAGACAATATGCTCCTAGAAATAATCTATTTGAGTACTTCTTTTTTGTACGAACCATTGAAGACTGGAACTCACTGCCGTCAGACTGCGTGAACCTCCAATAGTTTTGACTTCTTTCTTATAAACAATGTGTAACTCTCTCCTGCCAGGATGGTGGAAAACCATCCGCAGTATTTCCTAAATAAAATAAATAAATAAATAAAAATAAAAAAGCCATAATGTGGCAGCAGTACAAGGCCTGAAGAAGGTTCCTGAGATGGGATTGGACACTGAGCAAAAGATGGCCAGTTAGGGTTCTCAGGAGAAGAAGGCTTTCAGGGTTGGAGTCCGAGCATTTTACATCTCCACAGCAAAGCACCTGCCGAGGCAGCTGCCGCTCGACAACAAGCGTCCGTTCCATCTGCGTTTCTTGAATCCCTGCCCTTCCTTGACAGTGGAAGAAAAAGTACAGTCTTTAAAGTATGTTGCTGGAAACGTGCCTCATATGATCAAGGGTGAGCAGGTGGCAGCTTTGGCAGATGAGTGACATGCTCTTAATTGCCAACCCACTCCCGCTAGTGGATGGTCTCGGGACTCCACCAGTGACAGCTGTTGGGCTACTGCCCTGGCATCTGGCACCTCGAACAGTGTAACTCAAGAAGTATTCAATGCTGTCTGTGTTCATCCGTGCTTTAATGACCTTGCCGCATGGAGATGCTGAATGTGAACGGGTGAACGGGGATTCAGTGAGAACAAGCACATCATGGACAGCCGTACAAACCTCGGTATCGCAGCAGCGAATGGCATCCGGCAGGTGAAAAGCTTTGTAAAGCGCTTCGACAGCAATCCCTGCAGGATCCCATTGACGAGGGAGCTGCTTAGGGCTGTACAACGGTCCCACAAGACCTACTCGGAGTGCCTGCAACGGGAAGCCGGCCGAGGACCGGGAGAGGCGGAAGAGGAAAGCATCAACTGTATGCGAACCAGTAACAGAGAAAAAGATCAAGCTGGGAGAAGAAAAGTTGTGCACGGAAAGGTGCCTAGAATCATCCAAGACTATGCTGGAGCGCGCTCTCATCAAGATGGGGCTGAGGCACAAGAATGTGGACGAGATTGAATCTGGTCGAGGCATATGCAAGTTTGTCGGCGAATATGGCCAAGCTGGCAACTGTAATTGAAAAACTACAGAGGTCTTGTGGGACCGTTGTACAGCCCTAAGCAGCTCCCTCGTCAATGGGATCCTGCAGGGATTGCTGTCGAAGCGCTTTACAAAGCTTTTCACCTGCCGGATGCCATTCGCTGCTGCGATACCGAGGTTTGTACGGCTGTCCATGATGTGCTTGTTCTCACTGAATCCCCGTTCACCCGTTCACATTCAGCATCTCCATGCGGCAAGGTCAATAAAGCACGGATGAACACAGACAGCAGTGAATACTTCTTGAGTTACACTGTTCGAGGTGCCAGATGCCAGGGCAGTAGCCCAACAGCTGTCACTGGTGGAGTCCCGAGACCATCCACTAGCGGGAGTGGGCTGGCAATTAAGAGCATGTCACTCATCTGCCAAAGCTGCCACCTGCTCACCCTTGATCATATGAGGCACGTTTCCAGCAACATACTTTAAAGACTGTACTTTTTCTTCCACTGTCAAGGAAGGGCAGGGATTCAAGAAACGCAGATGGAACAGACGCTTGTTGTCGAGCGGCAGCTGCCTCGGCAGGTGCTTTGCTGTGGAGATGTAAAATGCTCGGACTCCAACCCTGAAAGCCTTCTTCTCCTGAGAACCCTAACTGGCCATCTTTTGCTCAGTGTCCAATCCCATCTCAGGAACCTTCTTCAGGCCTTGTACTGCTGCCACATTATGGCTTTTTTATTTTTATTTATTTATTTATTTTATTTAGGAAATACTGCGGATGGTTTTCCACCATCCTGGCAGGAGAGAGTTACACATTGTTTATAAGAAAGAAGTCAAAACTATTGGAGGTTCACGCAATCCGACGGCAGTGAGTTCCAGTCTTCAATGGTTCGTACAAAAAAGAAGTACTCAAATAGATTATTTCTAGGAGCATATTGTCTAACATTTTTTGAGTGGTTTAGCCTTGCCTATACAAGCCTTTACTGAAGCTAGTTTCGTAATTATGAAGTCCATAAAAAAAGCTTAATCTTGCAAATTTCCGCCTGGCTTCAAGAGATTCTAGCCCATATCTATTCAAAATTTCAGAAACTGAGGAGAGACGCCTAAAATCAGAAAAAAATAAATTGTGCACTTAGTCGCTGAATCCTCTCCCCTTTTTTTATATCTTTCTTTAAATATGGGTCCCACACGATTGATGCATGTGACAAGTATGTAGTGCCCCCCTCCAGTCCGCCCGTCTGTGGCCGCCAGGCTCGGCGGGCAACATTGGTCATCGCGACAATAAACACCGTTGAGCGCACGCCGCTCCGGTCAGTCATCGTCCACCCTCACAACCAGGCTGCGTGTCGTCTCTTCTCGGCGGGTGCTTCGGCCCCCTTCGTCCACGTTCGAGAAAGATTGTGACACTGGCGACGAGGAACCGTGGCACTGGAGGCCACCAACGTGCACGGTTCGGCCCACGCCGCCGAGGGAGTCGCAACACCGCCCCGCGCTCCTGTCGCCATGCCGCTGTACGGGAGGCTCAAGCCGTTCGAGGGAGATGGGTCCGCCTGGCCTGTCTACGAAGAACAAGTCCACGTGTTCTTCCGGGCGAACGACATGCCGGAGGCGAAACAACGGGACATCTTCTTGGCCAGCTGCGGGACCCGCATCTTCAGCCTCCTTCTCGACCTCCTCAAGCCGGCCACGCCACACGTCAAAACGCTGGGTGAGCTGCTCGCCACGCTGCGCTCGCACTTCAGCCCGGCGCCATCCACGCTTATGGAGCGGTTCCGCTTCAACAACCGGAGCCGCCGGGACGGGGAGACCCTCAAGCAGTTCGTCGCTGCGCTACGAGGGTTAGCGAGCACCTGCGCCTTCGGCGACCAGTTGGACTCGCTACTCCGGTACCGGTTCGTCTGCGGCATCAACAACCCTGCCATGCAGACTCGACTCCTGGAGCTCCCCGACCCCTCGCTGGATGACGCGGTGAAGGCAGCGCTGGCGATGGAAGCAGCAGCGAAGAACGCCAGCGAGATAGCGCGTGTGGCCGGCTCACCGTCGACGGAAGCAGCGGAAGCGGCGGTAAACAAGATGGCGACAAGGAGCGGTGCCTGCAGCCGCTGCGGTGCTGCCCACTCCCCCTCACAGTGCCAGTTCGTCCAAGCGCAATGTTTCACGTGCGGGAGAACTGGGCACCTCGCACGTGTCTGCCGAGGGGGGAGGACGAGCGGCGGCCAGCAGCAGCAGCCTGGTTCAAGCTTGGGTTCCAGCCAAGCCCGCGGCCAGGGTGGTCGTCGCAAGAGAACGCGGCGGGGACCAGCGGCACCAGGTCCGGGTACCTCCTCAGCCAGGGTCCACGTCGTGGCCGAGGACCCGCAGATTTTCGACGTGTGGCAGACGAGTAAGCCTCCATCGTCTGTGCCACCTTACTTGGTGTCTGCCGAAATCTGCGGCCACCCCATCACCATGGAGCTGGACACAGGGGCCAGCGTGTCGGTCATGCCCGGGAAGCTGTTCAAGCGGACCTTCTCCGGCGTGTCCATCGAGGCGTCTGACGTCATGCTGCGCAGCTACTCCGGGCAGCTTTCCCAGGTCCAGGGTCAGGCCCAAGTCAGCGTTCGCCTTGGCGACAGGGAGGCAATCCTTCCCCTTTACCTAACCAAGGGGTCGTCGCCGACGCTGCTGGGCCGGAACTGGATTCACTCGCTGGGTGTTTGGCTGCCGGAGTACCAAGAAGCTGCGCTGCACGTGGTGAAGGACGTCCCGAGCCTCCTGACCGACTTCCAGTCCCTGCTCCAGCCGGGGGTGGGCACCTTCGCCGGCACGACGGTCGGCATCCACGTTCCCGAGGGAGCCTGGCCTCGGTTCTTCAAGCTGCGTCCGCCGCCGTTCGCCCTGAAGGACGGGGTCACCCAGGAGCTGCAACGGCTGCAGCGAGAGGGTGTCCTGGTGCCCGTCAAGACTTCCGAGTGGGTCGCACCGATTGTGCCAGTCCTCAAGCAAGACGGCCGCGTCAGGATCTGCGGGGACTTCAAGGTCACCATAAACCCCGTCGCTACTGTCGAGAAGTACCCGCTGCCTCGGGTAGAAGATCTCTGGTCGGCTGTGTCCGGGGGACAGAAGTTCACCAAGCTCGACCTTCGAGATGCCTACCAGCAGCTGGTGCTCCAGGATGCCGCCCGGAAGTATGTCACCATTTCGACTACCATGGGACTCTTCCAGTACACGCGAATACCGTTCGGCGTGGCCTCAGCCCCAGCCATCTTCCAGAGGGAGATGGACAACCTCTTCAGGGTCATCAGGCACGTGGCGGTGTGCTTGGACGACATCCTGGTTACTGGTAACGACGACGGGGACCACCTGCAGAACCTGCGCAAAGTCCTGACACGACTACAGGACGCCGGTCTCAAGCTGAGGCTGGACAAGTGCGTGTTCCTGACCCCCAGCGTGGAGTACCTGGGACACATCATCTCCCAGGCTGGCCTGGCCCCGGCACCCCGCAAGCGAGGCCGTGCTCAAGGCGCCGAAGCCCAAGAGCAAGAAAGAGCTTCAGAGCTACCTCGGCCTCGTCAACTTCTACAGGAGGTTCCTACCCAACCTCTCAACGCATCTGGAGCCGCTGCATCGCCTGCTCCGCGACGGTCAGCAGTGGGCCTGGAAGAAGGAGCAGGACTTGGCCTTCCAGTGCAGCAAGGAGCTCGTCGTTAAGGCTCCAGTGCTGGTGCACTTCGATCCGGCCAAGCCTGTGGTCCTCACCGTGGATGCGTCGCCGTACGGGGTAGGCGCCGTCCTGTCGCACCGGGGTCAGGATGGTCAGGAACACCCTGTGGCGTTTGCTTCTCGTCGTCTCCATGCGGCAGAGCAACGCTACAGCCAGCTCGACAAGGAAGGCTTGGCCCTCATCTTCGGGGTCCAGCGCTTCCACCAGTACCTGTGGGGCCGGCAATTCGAGGCAGTCACGGACCACAAGCCGCTGCTGGGACTGCTGGGACCTGACAAGGCAGTCCCAGTGCAAGCATCGCCTCGTGTGGTACGCTGGGCCTTGACGCTGGCAGCCTACAGGTACAAGCTGGTCTACCGCCCTGGGAAGGACCTGGGACCTGCCGATGCCCTGAGCCGCCTGCCCCTGCCGGAGGTGCCTGCTCCCGTTCCAGAGCCAGCTGACGTGTTCCTGCTGGAGCGGGCCTACCCGGGGGTGCTCACCAGGACTGCGGTGGCGCAGGCGACCAGCCGGGACCCGGTCCTGTCTCAGGTGGTCAAGGCGGTTGCCCGAGGGGAGGAGCTGCGTCACCAGGCGTACAGCCACAAGACCGCCGAGCTGAGCTTGGAGCAGGGCTGCGTGCTGTGGGGTTCCAGGGTGGTGATTCCACAAAGTCTGCGGGCCAAGGTGCTGCAGTTGCTGCACGCGGGGCATCCTGGCATTGAAAAGACCAAAATGGTGGCACGGTCGCACGTTTGGTGGCCTGGCTTGGACCAGGACATCGTGCACCAGGTGCAAGGCTGCCAGGTCTGCCAGGAAAACCAGCGAGTCTCGCGCCACGTGGAGATCACGCCCTGGCCGTTCCCACAGAGGCCGTGGTCCCGCTTGCACGTGGACTATGCGGGACCCTTCAAGGGCCACTACTTCCTGGTGGTAGTGAACGCCTTCTCCAAGTGGGTGGAGGCACTGCCAGTCACCAGTCCATCGGCAAGCGCGACCATTGCGGCTCTGGGACAGGTCTTCGCGGCGCAGGGATTGCCGGACATTATTGTGTCCGACAATGGTCCCGCTTTCTCCAGTGCCGAGTACCTGGACTGGCTGCAGAGGAATGGGATCCGCCGGATGCTGGTTCCGCCGTACCATCCTGCTTCCAACGGTGCAGCCGAACGAGTGGTCCAGACCATCAAGGACAAGCTCAAGAAGAGCCAGCCCGGGGATTTCCGAACGCAGGTTGCCCGGGTACTGTTTCAATACCGGACCACACCGCATGAGGTCACTGGCCGTGCCCCCTGCGAGCTTCTGCTGGGCCGGATGGTCAAGACCCCCCTGGACGTCTTGCATCCAAACCTCCGGTCCACGGCACTCCTGAAGCAGCTGAAGCAGGAGCTGGCTGCTGACCGAGGGTGCCGTCCCGGGCCTTTGCCGGAGCCAGGAGCGTCGGTGTACGCCAGGAACTTCCGACCTGGCCCACCCTGGTCTGCCGGGCGTTTGGTTTCACCAGCGAGTGCCTCGTCGCTGCTCGTCTGCATGCCCGACGGGACCACCTGGCACCGGCACGCCGACCATGTCAGGCCTCGCTCCGGGACCTGGCTTGCACCCTCGGCCGTCGCTTCAGAGGACCAGCCTGCAGGGGGCCCAACAGCACCAGTCGTGGCCAGCGGAGCGCCACCCACCACGGAGGCAACAAGAGTCTCCAGTCCTGTGGCACCAGTTGGACCGGTGCCACTCCCCAATCCGGTCCCTGCAGCTCCACCGGGTGGAACGCGACCAATTCAGGCAGCGCCCGGCTTTGCCACACCTGGCCCATCGACTCCAGTGCCCAGGCGGAGTATGCGGCAGCGAAGGCCACCTGACCGCTATTCGCCGGGGTAACCTTCGTCGACCAGCCAGGACTTGACACGACCAGACGCAGAGTTGGTGTCGGCCGTGTGTATGGTTATTTCATTTATTTTGTTTGTAAGGAAACAAACTGGGGGGGAGGAATGTGACAAGTATGTAGCGCCCCCCTCCAGTCCGCCCGTCTGTGGCCACCAGGCTCGGCGGGCAACATTGGTCATCGCGACAATAAACACCGTTGAGCGCACGCCGCTCCGGTCAGTCATCGTCCACCCTCACAACCAGGCTGCGTGTCGTCTTTTCTCGGCGGGTGCTTCGGCCCCCTTCGTCCACGTTCGAGAAAGATTGTGACAATGCATATTCCATAACTTGGCAAACTAGGGCTTTATAGGCTAAAAGTTTGACTGTCCAATTGCACGCTTCCAATTTCCTTCTTAAAAAATACAGGTTTTTGTGGGCCTTGGCGCAAGTAATGTCTATGTGGGTGTCCCAGCTAAGTTTCGTATTAATATTAGACCTAAGTATTTTACGTCATTCACAGATTCAATGACTTTATTGCGGACATGATACTTATATTCGAGAGATTTCTTGTGTGTTATTGTAAGAGCGCATGTTTTTGAGTAGTTTATAACCATCTGCCACCTCTCGCACCAGTCAGCAATCTTACACAAGTTTTCGTTAAGTGATAATTGGTCCGAGACGTTAATGGCAGCTGTATAAATCGCAGAGTCGTCTGCAAACATTTTCACAGTCGCACCCGAGTCAAGGTCGTCAGCTTTGTCATTGACATATAGTATGAAGAACAAAAGGGGTCCCAAGACAGACCCCTTGGGGAACACCTGACAGGGCATCGAGATTTTGCGATTGTCAACCGTTAATTTCTACAAACTGCGTTCTGTTCGTCAGATACGCGGAAATCCAGTTCGCAAGGCGGGGAGAAATTCCTACACGCTGCATTTTTCTTAGTAGTAGGTAGTGTGGTACCCTATCAAAAGCTTTTGATAGATCCAAAAATATTGCATCAATTTGTTTTTTTTTTTTTTGTTGAGTGCATAGGCGAAGTCATGTACATTTGATAAGAGCTGAGTCGTGATTGATAGCTTTTTTCTAAACCCATGCTGAATGCTGGCTAATATGTTATTGGATTCTAAAAACAAAGTTATGTGGCTGGAAATTATGTGTTCGAGCAGTTTGCAGCTACTGCTGATTAATGACTGACCTGGAGGGGTCATTACCAAGGCCTTTCCACGCTACGTGCTGAGGTGGAGGCCACAGTGACCAGGGCCGCCCACGCCGCTCGTCAGGTCTCTGACCTTGAGGCCCGTGTGGACGACACTGAAAACCGATCCCGACGAAAGAATCTAATATTTTATGGTGTGCCCGATCCCTCACCTACAGAGACTTTTGCCCAGTCCAAACAAAGAATCATCCGCCTTTCCTCTGAACGTTTTGATGTAACATTAGACTCGAAAGAAATAGAACGTGCCCACCGCCTCGGGCGTCTTTCGGTCGAGCGTCCACGACCAATAATAATGAACTTCTCCTTTTTCAAAACTAAAGAAACCATCCTTTCGAATGGCCGTAAACTAAAAGGTACTAACTTCGGCATGGGCGAAGATTTTTCCCGCTCAGTTCGCAACGCACGGAAGCACCTCCTTGCCTTTGCTAGAAGCAAATCTGCTCCCTTTTCTTTGCGCTACAAAACACTGCTCATCGGCTCAAAACGTTACGTTTTCGATGAATCATGCCAGTCAGTCAAAGAAATCTCATAGCAATCGCACCGTCAACAGAAAATTACAACACGCCCCCAACGTGCCCCTTGAACTAATCTTTCTTTTTCGGTGATCTTTACTAACATATGCAGCTTTCTTCCGAAGCGCGAACTCGTATCTGGCGTTGTATTATCTTCTGAATGCAATGTACTTGTGCTCACTGAAACTTGGCTAACCAGTGATGTTACTGACTCCGAAGTTTTAGCGTACCTGCCAAATTTCCGTCTCTTTCGTAATGATCGCAAAGGTACTCGCGGGAAAGGTGTTCTCATTGCCGTAAACCATCAAATACCATGCACTACTATTAACACTTCATCCGATCTGGAAATACTCTGGCTCATCTGTCATGCCGCTCCTGAAACAGTGCTGTTGGGTGTCTGTTACAGGCCGCCGCATAATGGTCCCGATTTTCCGGGGCAGCTTAACGATATGCTGTGCCACCTCAATGCAAAACATCCCAATGCCCATATACTTCTTTTTGGCGATTTTAATTACCCATATGTCGATTGGGCTAACCTGGCGCCTACAACAACGAGCAACGCGGAAACGAGAGAATTTATCGATGTTTGCCTCAATTTTAACCTGTCCCAAATATTAACTGAGCCAACACGTGTCACGCAAGAGACTGCAAGTCTCTTGGACCTAATATTAACCAACCGTCCTGACAGTATGTCGTCAATTACTTACCTACGGGAAATTAGTGACCATAAGGTCATTCACGCTGATTTTATGTTTTCGCCGACGTTGCCCCCTTCTCAAAATAAAACAATTCGCCTCTACAACAAAGGAAATTATGAAGCGATAAATAACCATTTAACCAATTTTTTTACTGACTTTGAGGCTGCTTATCAAAGTCGATCCATCCATGAAAATTGGGTACTACTCAAGAACAAGTTTAACGAATTAATAAATATGTTTATTCCTAAAATCAGTTTTCGTGTTAGCCGACAGAAGCCATGGTTCACTAAAACCCTTAAGAGGCTGGAAAATAAAAAAAAGTGTCTTTTTCGCTTTGCGAAGTCAATACCAAACCCACGCGCGTGGGAAAGGTACTATGAGGCCGAAGAAACATATTTAAACGCGATCATTGAAGCCAAGCGCTCATTTTTCCTTATTGACTTACCAAACATATTAATTAATAACCCAAGAAAGTTCAGGCAGGTCATAAACCCTCAGCAGACTCCCGGTTTAATTCTTGCCGATGAATCGGGGAATGTGCTTAGCGATAGTGAGTGCGCTAACATGTTTAATATCGCGTTCTCATCAGTGTTTACTCAAGAGCCCGACGCACCACTCCCACCCGTAATCATAACTATTGAATCGGAAATGCACCCCATCTCGTTTTCCACTGCCGGTATTTCGTCTATTATTGATAACATCAAGTTGTCATCATCAGCGGGCGTGGACGAAATCACCTCGAAATTTTTGAAGAATTGTAACCATGTACGTTCATCATTTTTCTCAATTATGTTTTCGCAGTCACTTTTCACAGGCGGCATTCCAGATGACTGGAAGGCGGGGAAGGTCGTTCCCGTTTTCAAATCAGGCAACAAGGACTCTCCATTAAATTATCGACCCATTTCCTTAACAAGCGTACCCTGCAAAATCATGGAACACGTTATTTATACCCACGTTATGAACTTCCTGGACTCTAACCAATTCTTTCACTCTTCTCAGCACGGGTTTCGCAGGAACTTCTCCTGCGAAACTCAACTAGCTCTCTTTCTCCACGACTTGCATACCTATCTCGACTCTAACTGCCAAACTGATGCTATCTTCCTGGACTTTGCAAAAGCCTTCGACAAAGGATTTCATAGACGCTTGCTACTAAAACTTTCTCGGCTAGGATTAGACCCTGACGTCTTGAAATGGATACAGGAATTTTCGACTAATCGCTCTCAGTTCGTCCTCGTTAATAACCAGTCCTCCAACTGCCTACCAGTATCATCAGGTGTTCCCCAGGGCTCCGTCTTGGGCCCACTGCTATTCCTCGTATATATTAACGATTTACCCTTACACGTTACTTGCCAAATCCGTATGTTTGCCGATGACTGCGTTATTTATCAACCAGTTACTAACATTTCTGACCAAATCAATCTACAGGAAAACCTCAACCGCATCCAGGAATGGTGCGACCACTGGCTCATGTCACTTAATCCTAATAAATGCAAACTCGTGTCCTTTCATCGCCGAACCAACCCTTTCCTTTTCCCTTATTCAATTGCTAACACTCCCGTCGAACTAGTACAGTCCTATAAATATCTTGGTGTCACCTTAGGTAGCGACCTATCATGGCGCGCACATGTCACTAACATTATCTCATCAGCAAATAAAAGTTTAGGATTTCTAAAACGCCATCTATGTACCGCTCCTCAAAGCATAAAACTGCTAGCATACAAATCACTCGTAAGGTCAAAACTGGAATACGCATCCCCCATCTGGAGCCCGCACCAAGCCTATCTCAGTTATGCACTCGAACAGGTTCAGAACCGTGCCACCAGATTCATCCACTCATCTTACTTGTACAAAGTTAGTATCTCATCCTTAAAAGCTGAATCGGGTCTTTTAGACCTCTCCTCTCGTCGCCAAACTGCTAGCTTATGTCTATTTCACAAGTTTTTCTATTCTCCGCTCCATCACGCGCCCTACATTGTACCCCACGCCCGCATCTCTCTCCGAACAGGTCACCCATTGCAGGTCACCCGTCACCGCACTCGAACTGCCACTTTTTTCAATTCCTTCTTCCCCCGTACTGCAACAGACTGGAACGGCCTTCCCGGCGATGTTGCTACGATCACCTGCCCATTAAGGTTTGCTGAAGCTGTGTCAACCATCAATTCAACGTAACAACCTATTGTTCAAGTTATTGTTTTTTTATATTCTCCCACCCCTTATGTAATACCCCTCCCGAAGGGGTCTTTAAGGAAATAAAGTGAAGTGAAGTGAATGATATCGACCTGTAGTTCGCAAGCCAGCAGTTTGCTCCTGTCCCTGTGCACCGGCACAATTTTTCCACAGAGCCAATCAGGAGGCAGGCATCCCTGATCCAAGGATGCATTGAGCAAAACATATAAATACTGCGAAATCACGTCCATGTAATGCTTCAGAAAGGCGTTGGAGATACCGTCGGGGCCAGAAGACTTTTTTACATCAAGTTTTAAAAGGAGAAGGCGAATGCCATTCACGTTTAAATTTATGTCTTTCATTACATTAGACGAAAGAGAAAAATGCTCGATTGTATTTTCGGTCGTGCCCCGACGACTAAAAACACTATGAAATGTGCTGTTAAGCTCATTGGCAATTTGGTAAGGGTCAGTAACTCCACAACCAGCAATGTGAAGCTGGTCGACAGTCCTATTGTTGCCAGATAGATATCCCTAAAACCTTCGCGGCGCGTTTTCCCTGAAGTTTACATGTGTTTTCCCAAAAGAATAATCTCGAGCGCTCCGTATTTTTCGCTTCAGTGCTACTAAAAGGGAAGATATGACATTATTATCTTTACGAGCTGATTTGTGTTTTCGAGATATAGATCTTTTCAAATGTATTATGTCCCTGGTTATCCTGGGGTTGTGCTGTTTTTTTTCTGAAATTTTGGTACGATTTTATCAAGACATGATGCAGTAATGTTTTTAAAGGTATTCCACAAAGTCGATACGTCACCTCCCACCTCAAAGTCACTGAAGCAGAGGTCAAGTGAATCTATAACAGCTTCATCATCTGCAGCGGAAAAGTTAAGGACACATTTACTCGTGTGATTCTTTTTGACAGGACAAAACTTTGAGGTAAGTAAAACAAGCTTATGGTCCGAAATACCATCGCAAACACTCACAGTAGTATCCTCTGGGAAATTTCCAACAAATATAAGGTCTAGGCTGGTCAGGGATGAGTAGGCTTCATGTTGCATGAAGCGACTCAGCAACTTTTTGGTAAGACTTAAACACTCCGAACACACAATGTGTATTAGGGGCTCTTCCTTCTGAAAGAGTGACTGAAATCCAGTGAAGAGCTCACTCATGTTCCGCAAAAAAAGCATTTTGGCTAGTGTCTCCTTGTCTGCCAGGGCTGCTGCGAGTCGTTTTTGCAGCGTGCCACTTAACGGTCGAGTTTCAACGTCAGCGTAGAAGAAGGTCTTTAACACTTTGTACTGTTCCAGAACTCGCTGCAGGCTTTCTTGACACGTGAGTCATTGGTTACTGACGTGTCGAAGGAAGACATGTTCTGGAATTCCCAGGTCTTTCTGTTGATCTTTAAGATGTGAAGATCGAACGGCATGGTTGGAAAAATAATACACGTCAATCACCAGCAGTTCCACATAACAACCGAAGGTGTTGTGGGCGGCGCTAGTGTCAAGTTCGGACACTTTCGGTAATTGGGTTGCGAACATTGTGCCCGCGTCTTCTGTAAAAAGCCATGGCCTCATGAGATAAACATGCTTTTTGGTCCCCGCTCTCGACTGTCTGTACGCTCAGTTGCTTGCTTGCCGTCGCTGGTGGGTCGTGCAGTCTGACCGCCGGCCACAGCCCGGCACGGCATGGTGTCAGAAGCAGTCCACTAGGCCTACGTACCTTCAGTCCTCATGGCAGCTCATTAGGCCTACGTCCCTCTGTCATGGCGAACTCGCAAGAAGCTCCAACGTGGGCGGGCGCCTCCCTACGTCAACCCGCTGCTTTCAACTTCGACAACACCGGTTCTTGGCCTGCGTGGCTTACGCAATTCGAGGACTACGCTTATGCCTCCGGACTTCGCCAAGCACCACTGGACGTTCAGGTGCGGACACTTCTCTACTGTATGAGCCCCAAAGCTCGGGTCCTTCTCGACACGTTCGGCTTGACCGCCACCACCCTGAACGACTATGACACGGTGGTCAAGCGCTTCTCGGAACACTTTGTGCACCCCCTCAACGAGGTGTACGAGTCTTCGAGGTTCCACAAGCGGGTTCAGCAGCCGGAAGAGAGCGTCGACAGTTACTACGCCGAGCTCTGCAAGCTTGTTAAACGGTG